CAAGCACTGAAATGTATAGAAAAATCAGGTTCTCTCTCTGTATTAGAAAGAATGCTGAAGGAGATCTGTGTCCAAGGCACAGCAAGAGGGGGTGAACATTCCAGGAAGGGGGCGTGTTATCTATACAGAGACTGGTACAAAATAGCCCAGGCTATAGCTATTTATTATTTATTTATTTATTTGGAGCATTTATTAACCGCCATTCTCAGCCCACTCGGGCGACTCACGGCGGTGTACAGTACAAAAGGCAATTCACACAAAGACAAGTACAACAGCATATTAACCATACAACAATACAACAGTTAAAATTACACTAACTAATCCGCTTCGTCTCGTAATAGAATCGTGACCAATCTCGTATTCCTTGAACCATTCCAGTCGTCTTTACCACATTACTATAGCACTTAATTAAATGCCCTCTCGAACAGCCATGTCTTGAGGCTTTTTCGGAAGGACAAAAGAGAGGGCGCCTGCCTGATGTCTGTAGGGAGAGTGTTCCACAACCGGGGGGCCACCACTGAGAAGGCCCTCTCTCTCGTCCCCGCCAGGCGTGCCTGTGAGGCAGGCGGGATCGAGAGAAGGGCCTCCCCAGACGATCTCAAGGTCCTCGTGGGCTCATAGGCCAAGATGCGGTCTGAAAGGTATTTTGGGCCGGAGCCGATTCAGGGCTTTGTAGGCCAACACCAGCACCTTAAATTGGGCCCGGTAGCAAATCGGCAGCCAGTGGAGCTGGGACAACAAGGGTGTTGTGTGCTCCCTGTATCCCGCTCCAGTTAGTAACATGGCTGCCGCACGCTGAACCAGCTGAAGCTTCCGGGCCGTCTTCAAGGGCAGCCCCACGTAGAGAGCGTTGCAGTAGTCAAGGCGGGATGTGACCAGAGCGTGTACCACCGTGGCCAAGTCAGACTTCCGAAGATACGGGCGCAGCTGGCGCACGAGCCTAAGCTGTGCAAATGCTCCCCTGGTCACCGCTGCAACCTGGGGATCCAGGCTCAAGATGAATCCAGGGTCACACCCAAGCTGCGAACCTGTGCCTTCAAGGGGAGTGTGACGCCATTCAGCACAGGTTGCAACCCTATACTCCGATTG